TATTATTACTACTGCTACTGCTACTACTGCTACGACTACGACTACGACGACCACAACGACAACTGCTGCTACTATAACTACTGCTACCACACATTCCCGCTGGCACGACTCCGAGAAAAATGAACCTCAGGCACCCTGCACCCGAAATCCAATGCTGCAAAGCCGGGCACTACATGTCCATGTCACGGCTGTTGAGCTCCAGCCTGCATGCCCACAAAGATCCGGATTGTTATCAGCAGTGTAGGATGGTTCTATGAACGAAAATGCCAGATTTGAGGCTCTGCTTAAAGCTGACTTAGGCAACAAGGACACTAAGGACAACCTTTTCTAGAGCCTGCAGATCATTGGCAAGCCTTTGGCCGCACAATAGGGCGCCCCGCTGCAGGCTTATCTTTTCGCCAGAACCTCAGCAAGTCTTTCAAATTCCCTGTGCCACATCCGGGGCGTGGCTCCGCGAGGTTTAGGTTTTTGCGGTTGTTGTGCTGGCAGAGTTTAATGTTCCCAGACCAGGGTAAGTGCACGAGTGCCCGAAGCTACCCTGGAAAAGGGCCCCGTTTGCGAGACGGCGAGCACGATGAATGTGTCACAAAGGTGATCATGTTATTATTGTTGATGGTGATGATGTGATGAAGGCAAAAGATGATGAAGATGATGATGAAGAAGAAGATGATGATCATGGTGATGCCGCTGATAACGACGATGGTGGTGATGAAGCAGAAGAAGGCTATGTTGACGGTGGATCTGTTCACGTCGTGCAGCAGTCGCGCCGGTGGCGATGAGAGTTGTGGTGATGGAGGTGATGATGCGTTGACATTATCATAGGTGATGGTGATGATGTGGATGACGCCTGTGCCAACATAGAGATGCACTCCTGATGCCTGACACTTGTGCTCAGGACCTCGTGTGTGTACACAGTGTAGGAGGCCAGCCCGGAAACAGGGCCAAGCATCGCCCCTTGACCCAGGAGCCAGGGACCCTGAAGTCAGCTCATGGAAGACTCTCTGCATCGTCGAAGTTTCAAGGTCAGCGGTTGCGGCTTCAGCAACGTTACAAGGCAAACTAACGTCTCAAGACACCGCAATGCCCGTCTGTGGAGAACCCCGAAGTGCTAGCCCAGAGCCATGAGGACACTGCCTTGAGTGTGTGTTACTACATGCCCAACGATGTGACGTTGGCGGACCGGTCGCAGTCCTTCTTCCAGCAGGCCCGGCAAGGACTCACAGTTCGGAAGGCCAATCACAGCTCGCATCAGAGATGTCGGCGGGTTTTCTGCGGTTCAGTCTGTACTTAGCTGAAAGTTTCGAGAGGACGTGCGAATGCAGATAATTTGGTTGAGATGGCATTGACAGGCCCCTGAATCATCCTCTCAAAATCACGACCAGAATGGTTGTCTTGCAGCTGCTTTAGCCCGGAGGCATCTGAAAGATACCTGCGGCTGGGCCACGTCAACAGGTACTGCAAGCAGCGTGCCCAGCAGTTCAAGAGCCTCCGGGGTGCCGGGGTCTTGACCCGCTTTTCCGGCCTCCAAGATCCTCAAAGCCTCAAAGCCTCTAAGTCTAAGGCTTTCGGGCCCCAAGGTGCTGCCTCAGGGCTGCGGCAGTTCTGCATTTGCAGGGCAGCAAGTCGGAGGCCGAGTACTACACGCAGCAGGCCAGGAGTACGTTCAAAATGATTCACTGCGACGCAATGGCGCCTTTTAGCAGAACGAATATGACACAGAACAATCAGTGTGGGTGGTAACAAAAGATATGCAGGCAAAACACACGCACGTGTTCATATTTGGCACTAGAGCATTGGCAACATGGCAGCAATGGCCAGTAGTGTACTCCAAACTCTCCTCGTTGAGCGTCACTAGGAGGAATCTCGCACTGAAGCAGTGCAACGTCATCCATATTAGGCTTGCGTTGGCTTGCATTGCTTCTTGCATCCCGCACTTTATAAAACACCAGGCGCGAAATCAGAGCATCCGCTTACACTTTTTTGTGCGCCGTCATCTTCTGATAAGCCTAAGCCAGCTTCCGACAGGCTTTGAACAAGCTCAGTGATGCACCAGTCTCGTCCTTGCTGGCTATCTGCTACCACAATCTCGCTGTGGCCTGGCTGAGCAACAGACCTTGGCAACCGATGATTTGGACCTGTCTAGCACCTAGAGTGTTGTTGGCAAGTTGTGTGTACGAGTTATTCACCAATGGCTGCAGAGATGCAGTTGGACTACAAGAGTCTGTGGATGTAAGCTTATTGAAGCCTATATGACAATGATCCAGATATCACTGGGTCGCGTCAGGAATCTAAAGCTACGATCGAGACGCTTCGCTTCAACATGCTGTACTGGATGTGCTATACCCACCCCTACCTACCCTACCTAGGTCCACACTGTGGTGCAGCAGCGGGTCGCGGATGCCGTCGCACATGTCAGGCTTGGTGACGGCTTGTTTCAATCCCGATTCGGGTGTTGGATGGCCGAGAAGCAAGCTTCCTGTTGTCTGTCCAGATGTGTGTTGAGATGAATGGTAACAATCGCGAATCCGAAAAAGCTGCTGTGAATCCGCTGGCCCTGCGACAACTTCATAGGTTTTCTGGGTTAACGGTTTAGGGCACCCGAAGCCCGAACCCCTGAACCAGAAACCCTAATCATAAACCTAAACCCTAAACCCTGAGCCCTAAGCCCAAACCCCTAGCCCCTAAACCCTAAACCCCAAACCCTAACCTTAAAACCCCTAAGCCTGGTTCCCCTTCGGTCCTGCTCACAGGTCCTACGTCGCGCTCTTGCGGCAGCTGCCAAAGCTTGGCAACTCCTGGATGCAGCTCCTGGACCGAAGAGCTCCTTTAAAACGAGAATTTTTCGGCTAAGGAAGGGCTCCTTTTCAAAAAGAAGGGTCGCTAGGGAAGGGGCTCCTTGTGAACAAGGAGCCGCTATAGGACAATGGTAGGATAAGGCTTCGAAACGAGTCTTTAACAGGGGGTTTCAGACATGGGGGGTCTAAAGAATGGGTCACCATCTTCCCCCCGGGGGTGGATACCCCAAAAAGAAATTCTAATTCTTCAGGCTCCTAGAAGGTATTGGCCCAGCAAAGCCTTGGAGTGGGCTTTCTGGCGTTTGCCGGCCTGTGTTTTTGTTGGCGATGACGCGGAGCTGCGGTGCACATTTTTGAGCGCTGCCATCGTTTGTAGAGACTTGAAGGCTGAGCTAGTGCAATGGACGTCGGAATTTTCATACTTCACTGCCTGCCCGAGAGGACAACACCCAGTGGCTCATCCTGAAGGCACAGGAGCTCTGGCCACAGCATCAGCAGCAGGCCAGGACCTCTTGGACAATGGCAATTTTACGGCTCTGTAGACTCTGCAGACTCTCACTAAACGTCTAGGTTTAGATACACAGCTGGACACGCCAATATGTGACACAAACACATATGCCACAATGTTTACTTCCTGGCAGGTAGATGCGATATCAGATGCATGGGAGCTTGCACTCGACAGATGTTTTGACATCCCCCCCAAACACGCACGAAAGCAGGCGCGCACGCATGCACGGGCGCACGGACGTATGTCGGGATGCAGGTGTGTGGGTATGTACTGCTGTTTTAGTTTATTCATGTATGTGTTCTTGTATATGTGGTAGTTGATAGAACCATCCTTGAGCCATACATTTTATCAAAGGCCAACTGCCTAGCCAAATATGCCGTCGCGAAAGTTCCGCGATGGTGCCGCTAAAGTTAACTGATGTTTTTCGAAAGTTATCTGTTTAGCCTACTTGCCATACTATTACGACCCGTGGAATAGCCCCATGAGAAAGCTTTTCAACCCTCTGTTGGAACGCAAGCCTTTCTAAGAACCTCGAAAACCCTTTAAAAATCCTTTAACCGCATGCACGCAGCCACTGCTGCGAATCTGGAGTTGGTCGCTGCGGGCATTTGGGGATTCCCTTGAGGGTTCTGTTAAGGGTTCCTTCGAGGCTTCTTTTAAGGCTCCTTGTGAGGGTTCGTTTGAAGGTTTCCTTGCAGGGTTCTTTTGAGAGTTCTTTAAGGATTCCGAGACTTCGTCAGAAATCCAACCCCTAAGACGGCC